TATCTATCTATCTATCTATCTATCTATCTATCTATCTATCTATCTATCTATCTATCTATCTATATCTGTCCTGTCTGTCTGTGAGCTAGAATCTGAATTCATTTCATTGTGTAGTTTCTTAATGGTACTAAAGGCTTATATTCTCTCTGTTCTCAGGAATGAGATATTGGCACACAAAACTTTTCATCGATACACTGTACGAGCTCGACGAGGTACAGCCCAAGGAATGAGGGATGCTCAAGGGACAATGCCAAAATCCGCTGGGGCGTCAATACGGCGCTACAATGAGGCTGCTCTCCTTAAAGTAAGTACGCAGCCAAGAGGAAACCTGCAAAGTGAGAGGTTCAAGAGGTCTCAGATTCTTCCTGTGGCCCTATTTCAGAGTAACATTGCCCAGGCCTTCATGGAGAAAAAAATAATAATTTTGTGGGCCTGTCTAGATTCTTATTAGTGATATGTGCATAGCCAAGTGATGGAACATAAATATAGATGGACCACTTGGTGGCTCAGTGGTTAGAGTGCAGTACTGCAGGCTACTTCTGCTGACTGTTGGCTGCCTGTAATTGGGCAGATCGAATCTCATCAGGCTTAAGAATGACTCAGCTGTCCATCCTTCTGAGGTGGGTAAAATGAGGACCCAAAATTGTTGGGGGCAATATGCTGACTCTAAAGTACTATGAAGCGGTATATAAGTCTAAGCGCTGTTGCTGTTGCTATAGCTTAGTTATATAGATTCATTTTTTTGCAGTTTCTGCATGTCAGTATACTTTCTGATAGAACATTTGAACTGTGCATTCCTGTCAACCCTTCGAGATAGTCCAGGCAAGAACCACAAACCATCAGTACTAGCTCTAACTTTATTGTAAGGTTACAATAATACAATCTTGCAAATCTGAAGGTACTTTTCCCTCCTCATTTACTTTAACTTAACAGAAAACGAGGGAGGTTCCCATCTGAGACACCTCCCGTACCCCTTTTTCTTCCTGTGGGCTGTGATACCTATTGCATAATAGTTGTTTAGGCTGCGGCTCTTTCTCCTGCTTACAAGATCATCGTCACAGACCATTATAATCCCCTCTCTGACATTAAAAATGGTTCTGTGGGAAAAGCAAATATCTGGATCTCTTGAATCACATTTTGCATTTAAGCTGCAAACCAGTGCTTACTGTAGCACCCGGTTGCTAAACTGGCTCTCAGCAATATTGAACATTGTGCATGAGTTGTTCCTCTTATTTTTTTTTTCTACAGGAGATTCAGGAGCTGCTAATGAGCTGGACAAGTTATTTAAAAGAAGCAGAGTGCATCTTCCTTCGTGTTCCATACAATAACCAAGCTCTCTTGTTTAGCAGCAAACATGGCCCTCTTCAGCGAGGTGACCCACGTATCCGGCGTATTCCTTTCAGCACCCGAAGAGCCACCTTCCGTGAGGTGGAACGGGTCCATGGGACTTTAAGCAGTTTGCTGGTATATGGTGAGCTGTCATTTAATTTTTCTCTGTTGTTGGCTTGACTTTTAGCACTTGAAAGATATTTTTTGGTCTGTAATGCAGTGCCAGTCAAATAATTAAACTTTCTAAGGAATGATTTCTTTCTTTATTCCCTTCAGAACCACCCAAATACTTGTAACTGCACTTTAAAAGCTTTGCAAGTAGTTTTCTTAGTCTTATCCTAGCATATTGGAGTTCTCTTCTGTCCTGTCCTGTCCTGTCCTGCTCTTGTAAGTTCTCCATTCTATTATAGAAATTTAGTCCAAAACTATGCCATTGAGATGCTATTGGAAGTGTAATCTCAATTTGAGCATTTTAAGGGGAAAGAAACAAGTACATTAAAATTACATTCTGATTTTTTTTTTAAATAGGAAGTAATACAACAGTGGCAGATCTGACTAGTTCTCCTCGGAAGACCTGGAAAAAAGTAGTTCGTAAGGATGAAGCATTTACACAGCCTTCTGGCACTAGTGAGGAGGACGGCCATTTTGAAGCTGAAGGAATACATTGTTATTCCTATTCTGTCACCCTTCCTGGTCAGTGTAGTTATCTTCTGCGTTCTTTCTTTCTGACGTCTGGTGTACAGAACGAAAAGAGTACAGGTTGCCCACGACTTACAACAGTTCATTTAGTGACCATTCAAAGTTACACTGAAAAAAATGACTTATGACCGTTTTTCATACGACCTTTGCAGCATCCACATGATCATGTGGGTTTTTTTTTACTCAAAATTGCTTGGCAATTGGTTCGTATTTATGACGGTTGCTGTGTCCCAAGGACATGTGATCCCCTTTGGCAATCTTCTGACAAGCAATCTATGGGGAAGCCAGATTCACTTAACAACCAGGTTACTAACATCAACTTCAGTGATTCACTTAACAGCTGAGGCAAGAAAGGTAGTAAAATGGGGCAAAACTCACTTAACAAATGTCTATCTAACAACAGAATATTTGGGTTCAACTGTAGTCATAAGTCGAGGACTACTACAGGCGTTGAAGTTAACAATATACTGGGGATTTTGCCTAGAATGGTTAGTAGCTTAATGAGAAGTCCCTGAAGTAAAATGTTTCAGGCAGCATGGAGTTTACTAATGTATAGGGTGTGATCATAGCAGACTTTAATAATGACTGATGGCATACAGGTGGATAACATGAAACAACAAATATAACCAGTTCTTTCTTTTCCCCCTCTCCCCGTTCTCATCTGAGCTGTGCTTTTTTTTTACAGTCTCTGTAGCAACGATAGAGGAAGAAGAAGTGGGGGAAGAAAATCTGGAACTGGTGGAGGAGACACTAAATTTATTAGATTTACGTGAATTTGAGGTGACACCAAAACAGAATCGCAAAAAGAGGAGAAGGAAACCCAAGACACTGCCAAGTAAGTGGCTGAAATAATGACCCTGCTTTTAGCATGCCTATTAGGTTTATTGCTTTGTGGAATGATCTTCAAGGATAGCAAGCAGGAACTAGACTGGCTTTTTGGCAGATTCTTCTTTTTATAGTCAATGGACTATAGGTTGCGGGCAAAGAGTCTGCTAAGAGGTTGGTGATATCTTGAAACATCATCTAAGTCGTCTAGAGTAGGAGATCACCTCTGGTTGCTGTACTGCAATTCTTGACTTTTCCAGCCAGCATGGCTAGTAATGAGGAAAGTTAAAATTTGCAGGTTAGCAACACTATTCCAGGTATAACCTCATTGGTTTTAAAATCCTATTAGTGCTAAAATATTAGGCAAGGATTTAAGGGGACTGATTAAAATCAGGGAATCTTCTACTATGTGTTCTGAAACAGAGTCTAACATGGATACTTCAGGAAGTGTTGAACACAATACTTCAGTATGTAGAGGACCAGCGTCAACTGAGATCCAAGAACAGCAAGAGCCTCAAGGTGAGTTTGGGAGCATGTGTGGGATAACATATACATTACATAGTCTTCCAACTGGCTATCTTGACCTTTATTCTAGATTATGTGTGGCAGGTTGGATCTTGTGCTGGCAGGTTGGATCTGTGGCTACATGCTATTGGATGTGTGTGTGTGGAGGGGGATTGTATGTTGTTCTGTACTGATGTTTTTATTGTGTTAGCTGCCCGGAAAACCTTTTAATGGGATAGGCAGCTATATAAACCCTAATCATCCCCTTTCCAAATAATAACCTCAAATGCACTTGAATACCTTTCTCTTCCTCCCAGATGCTCCCAGCACAACTGTGCAAGATGCTTTATTTACAGCATGTAAAATGGGAGACATGGGAGCCCTACAGCATCTTCTGGGAATGGCTGATAATACAACAGATAACAGTGAGTGCAGTGATAAAGTCACAAAACAGTTGCTCAACACACCCCTGGATGAGAGTGGCTGGACTGTTTTGCATGTGGCAGCAGCAGCAGGAAGAACTGCAGTTGTGCGGCTCTTGTTGGAGAGCGGGGCTGACCCTGCCATCAGGTAATGTCCATCAAGAGAGGGTCATATTGAGGCCTAAGTTAGCGCCAGTCTTAAACTGTATTTAGTCTGTGCATGGGATCTGACTTGCAAACTTAGCAATAAGCAGCTGAGATAAGCAACAATAAGTTCTTCTGCCGCATCTCCACCGGTGTCTTAGTTTCCCTTCTAGTTATTATGGGTCCAGGATTTTCATAAATATAAGGAATTAATACTTTACAAGAACCAAGGTATTCAAAATTGTTTTGGCATATTTACATGGATGTTTAAGTCTTCCGAGTAGCAAGCTAGAAGAGAGTTGTCCTATTTTCATAGCTGGAAAGGTTTTCACATCTCTTTGTCTCAGCAATGATTACCTTGAAGGTAACCCTTCTTGTAAGTGTTCTGTAACTTTTATTTTATAAAGCACCCACTATTTTATACTCCAGGGACAGAAAAGAACAGCCTCCATACTGTGTGTCTACCAGCAAGCAAACCCGCAATGAATTCCGTAGATTCATGGGTGAACAGCCAGAGAGGTACGACTACACCCGGGCTCAGGTGAGTGGAAACAAGGTCTTGGATGTCAGCTCCCATCATTCCTTCCTGACTAAGTTAATCAACTTAGGAAGGAATGATGGGAGTTGACATCCATCAGCTAAAGTGCCACCCATTGGTTGTCATTTAATGAAGGTCATCTTTAGGTATGGATAACTTTAAATGTTTGTTTCAGTTGCCCAGTCTAGATTTTGTCTATGAAGCATACAGTGATGGGGAGGAAAGCGTTGCACAGGATATAGAAAAGATTAATGTCCTCTTTAGGATTATCTTTTTCTTTTTTTCTTTTGCTATTGGGATCTCCTCCTGTTCTGTTTGATTCACATATGGAATGTAACCACAGGTGCCTGGCCCCCTAACTGCAGAAATGGAAGCCAGACAGGCAGAACGCCGACGAGCACAGAAAGCCCTACGGAAGCAACGAGAACGAGAAGACCGTGAAGCACAATTACTTCTGGAGCAAGAACAGGAAGAGAAAAGGCGGTTTGCCCTGCTCAGTGATCGTGAGAAGGTCAGGGCTTAAAGTGGCTTAAAAAGTGATAGCGTTTCTCATTCGTCTGTTCACTGAAAACATTCTGCTGCAATATAGCAATAGCACCTAGACTTAGATAGTACCCCGTAGTGCTTTACAGCAGGGGTCCCCAACCACCGGGCCGCGGACCGGTACCGGGCCGTGGAGCACTCTTTACCGGGCCGCAAAGAAAAAAAAATTAAAAAAATGGCGGCTTTCTTCGCCTTCGGTGAATGCTGCTGGGATCGGGGATCAAGGACACAAATGAAAGAAGGGGAGGGAGGAAGCAACCGAAGCCTGTCCTGCTCTCTGGCTCAGCTCTCTCAGTCGCTTTCTCGCTCCTCCACCAGCACAGGAAGAAACTGCTTCAAAGAAGCCGGGGGGGGGCTTTTCCTGTCGCCGCAGCTTCCCCGAAGCGCCCGTTTCACCCCCACCCCACCCGCCCGCCCGCTCGCGGTTCAATCCACAGTGCTCCGTTCTGCCTGCCTGCCTGTCTGGTTGTTTGGGAGAAGCTTCGGCTGAGAATAATAACTATTCGCCTCTTTTTATCAGCCGAAGCTGCTCCGAAACGAAGAAGGCAGGCAGGCAGGCAGGTAGAACGGAGCACTGTGGATTGAACCGCGGGCGGGCGGGGTGGGGGTGAAACGGGCGCTTCGGGGAAGCTGTGGCGACAGGAAAAGCCACCCCACCCCCCCCCCCCCCCCCCCCC